AAAGATTGGGTTTGGGGGGGGGAAGGGCCGCGGGGGGGGGGGGATGAATCTCGTCTTGGAGTAAGAGCACTATTGGCTTTTTATTCCCGCCACAGGATTGCGAAGGTCAGCGACCACACCTCAGTTTGGCACAGGCACACCCTCGTGCAGGATGACCTCCCCCAAGGAGAATTCGTCATGTCAACAGAAAATTTGCTTTGCTAATATTTACTCTTATCTCTTTATCTGAGCGTAAACATCAACGGTTGTCTTTCTTGTCTATTCCTGGCAAGGAGGAAAATCGATAGCATATAACAGCTGCTGAGTTCTGTGCATTCTGCGTTTCTGGAATGCTACCGGCGCTACAAGCTAACACTTCTTAGCTTGCAGTTCAAACTGGAATGTTATCAATATGGACAAAAGGTATGCCATTACTTTTGATTTTTCTTGATGGCATAATGTCAGTTTTATCCCGAGGAGAAAGACAAAGCTGGATCGGATAAAGATTTTCTTTATTTTTCTTTGGTGACTCCAGAAAACCAGAAGCATCCCAAACTGAAACATTCGAAATGTTGATAACAGGTGAGCTCTTACCTTTAGTGCACTTTTACAATTTTATGCCATTCACAAAGAGTGCTCATGAAAAGTCAAACCCAGATTCGCTTGAATGGGCTTTGTATTTCGGAGTCGATATCCGCTTGTGACCAGTGTTTTGCTCTCGCCGTTTGATTGACAGCCGGTCCAGCTAATAAACATAACGGGCCTTATACCTGCTGGGCGAGAAGCATGAGGTGGGCTGGGACTGGTGCGAGGTGATGGAGAGTGTTGTCACACTATTACTTACCTACCACACAACACCCTCTCGGCTCATTATTCCCGAGTACACACACACACACACACACACACACACCGACAATGTTCCTCTCGGCTCATTATTCCCGAGTACGCGCACGCACACACACACACACCGACAATGTTGTGTGGGAACTAATGAGAACATTCTTCAAGTCTATAACCTTTACCTGAGAAAGGTTTGCCCGCGCCCCTGTGTGTGTGTGTGTGTGTGTGTGTGTGCACGTGCATGTCCACAGTAGGAGCATGTGAAGAGGAACTCATTGGCAAAGAAAAGAGGACACCATATCCTGACACCATACCATCGGAAAAAATCGCAACTTTGGAAATCAGAAAATATATTTGTTTAAGTCGTTTAATTTTGTAGACTTTTTATATAGTTTTTCATATTATTTTGTTCATCATTGTGTAGATTCTCAGCAACTTAGCCTGTGAAGATCCTTTGAAAATGGCCATCAGTTAAACAATTACAACTCCAGAATGACCAACAGGTGTGCAGCTGCAGGGGAAAAGCCCCACAGTGCCACCTGTTGGTCACAAACCGAAACATGACAAATTTCAGATCGTAATGAAACAATTTTTGACATCACTCTTATAATTGTTGTTATTCAAAAACATTTCTAATACCATTTTTTTTGTGTGTAGGTGTATTGAGTTTTCTGGTATCATATATATGATAAAAAATTAGACAGGTACCAGGAAATGTTGGAAGCTGATTAATTTCATTTTTAGACTGTGTATAGTTTTATTTATTAGAATTGAATGGATTTTTTAAAATAAGAAAAATATCGTGATTCTGATACTACAGATACAGCCATTAAAATATTTTTTTTTCAAAGTTGTTCTTTTAAAATATTTTTGGCTTTATAATCATTAGATTTGTTTTGTGTATTCATTCTACACCTCAAAAATGCACTTTCTTGTGTACCAAGCGATGCGGCTGGTGAATGTGTATAAAAAGGAAGCTAATGGGACTTACAATATTAACAACAAGAACGCAAAAACAACTAATCGCCCCCCACCCAAAAAAAAAACAGCATTAGAAGAAAGAGAGCAGTTCTAACCTTTTTTTTTTTTAAATGAATGTATTCATATTCATGTCACAGGGAACAATAATTAAGCATTCTTTGAGGCCGTGAAATTATTCTGCACCTTTCCTGCTTAAAGTAATGGCTTAAGTCAAGCGAGCATCGCCGTCTGCGTACTGTACACGAAGCGCGGTCCTTGAGACCAGCTTGTTTTCAGATGTCTCCCTTTCCTCCAACACACCTCATCAAAAATGATCAGCTCTTCAGCGAGCATCGCCGACGCCCGATAACGATCCTCATCATTTGCGTTGGAGGAGGGGAAAGGCTGGAAAGGGGCCGGCCCCCCCAGGACGGGACTGATGCGCCCCCGTTGTAGAACAATTCCCATTTCTCTGCGTTCTCGCTCCTTTGAGTCCGTGTTGTCGCCTCGCTGGGCTTGCGTCGTACTCGCGGTTGCCACGGCGACAACGCAAAGCCGCACAGACTTTCGTCTAAGTTAATGAATGGCGCACCAAGGGCGGACACGGCACTCCCTCCCCCAACGCCGACGTCGGACCTCGTTTGCCAAATGCCGGTGTCAAGCGTGGACTCTGGGAAAAGGGGGAAGGCCCCGGGGATGGGCCCCGCTAGCTCGTTAGCGGCTAATTAAGCTCCGCTCGTTATCGCTTGTTGA